ATATTGTGTCACTACGATATTGCACTATATTAGTTTTATTGTTTCAGACGTTTATACTGTGGTGTATTCCCTGTATACTGAATATTGTGTTAACCCATAGGGGTAAGTTATTATAACCTTAAGCGCTCCATAATTACACTAGTGGTGGTTAATGTATATTTTCCTTCACTTTTGTATATTCTTTTTTATATAAGAACAGTGATTGAGTCACACCACACAAAAACAAAAGTTTTAGACTTTAGAAAAACAGACTTTATCAGACTGGAGCATTATCTCATTATCAGACTGGAGCAATTTTAATGGAGTTCCAGAGAAATGGGATTATTTAAAAGTTGCACTTCTGAAGAAACCACTGTGGTACTCCGCAGATGTGGCCAAAATAGTAAAAAACTAAAATTTTGCATTTAGTAATTATAAAAAAAAACAGAGTGAGGAAGATATACAGATCTATAAGATTAGGCAGAAAGAGGCTAAGCAAGTTATAAGAGCTTCCAAATCACACACAGAAGAGAAAATTGCCCAGTCATCAAAAAAGAGGGACAGAACATGTTTTAGATACTTAAATGAGAAAAAGAAAGAAAAACAAGGATTACTCTGTCATAACAATAATCACAAGGACGACTGGTCCTAAAACCCTGTTACCCTCCTCCCCCCACCCCTTCTTCCTTTCTGTACCCCTATAACCCCCTTTTTTTGACTTGAAAACAATAAAAATCTTGAATTTAAAAAACAAAAGAAGGAAGGTATGTAGAAGAGGATAAAGGTCTAGCTGACTGCCTCAATGAATATTTTTGTTCAGTACCTACAGATGAAAATGAAGGAAAGGGACCTCAGTTAGGAAAAAGGACAAATGAGTAATTTGTTATGTGTGAGTTTACAGAGGAAGAGGTTGTGTTTCAACTGTCAAAAGTAAAGACAAATAAGTCAATGGGACCTGATGGAATACACCCACAGCTATTAAACGAGCTTAGTGGTGTACTAGCAAAACCATTAAAGGGACACAATAGTCACCCAGACCACTTCAGCTCAATGAAGTGGTCTGGGTGCCAGGTCCCTCAGGTTTTAACCCTTCACATGTAAACATAGCAGTTTAAGAGAAACTGCTATGTTTGCATAGCAGGGTTAATCCAACCTTTAGTGACTGTCTTCAAGGATGACATAGTGTCAGGAAAACAGGTTTGTTTTCCTGGCACTATAGTGATCCTTTAACAGATTTATTTAACCAATCATTGTTACCAGGAGTAGTCCCAGAAGATTGGAAGTTAGCAAATGGTAGTAGGGAGGAGTCGGGCAACTATAGGCCAGTAAGCCTTACTTCAGTAGTGAGGAAAGTAATGGAAACCATGATGAAGGATAGGATTGTTGAGCATCTAAAAACACATGGATTTCAAGATCAAAGACAACATGTGTTTACTTCAGGGAGATCATGCCAAACTAATCTTATTGATTTTTTTAATTGGGTAACTAAAATAATAGATCAGGGGGCTGCAGTAGACATTGCTTACCTTGATTTCAGTAAGGCTTTTGACACTGTTCCACATAGAAGACTTATCAATCTTTAAGTTTGGATTCCGATATTGTTAAATGGGTAAGGCATGTGGCTCTGTGTATTTGATGTTGATACATGCATGACAAAAATAAAGAATAAAAAAAAATAAAAAATGGGTAAGGCAGTGTCTGAGTGACAGGCAACAGAGGGTTGGTTGTAGACAATGGAGTATATTCGAAGCATGGGCTTGTCACCAGTGGGCTACCTCAGGGATCTGTACTTGGACCCATTCTCTTTAATATTTTTATTAGTAATTATGCAGAAGGTATTGATGGTAAGGTGTGTCTTTTTGCTGATGATACTAAGATATGTGTGAATCTTGCCACTCTTGCCGCGCATGCTCATTCCGCTCCACTCGGGAGCCGACGTCGGAGTGGAAGGAGAGGTCACCAGCGCCGAATTAAAGTAAGTAACCAAAGGGATTTTAAACCCTTCAGCGCCAAGGGAGGGTGGCCCTGAGGGTGGGGGGGACCTAAGGGTTGTATAGTTTCAGGAAAACAAGTTTGTTTTCCTGACACTATAGTGATCCTTTAACCCATTAAGGACACATGACATGTGTGACATGTCATGATTCCCTTTTATTCCAGAAGTTTGGTCCTTAAGGGGTTAAACATAATTTCAGGAAGTATTACTTTACTGAGAGGGTAGTGGATGCATGGAATAGCCTTCCAGTTGAAATGGTAGAGGTTAACACAATAAAGGAATTTAAGAATGCGTGGGATAGGCATAAGGCTATCCTAACTATAAGATAAGGCCAGGGACTAATGAAAGTATTTAGACAATTGGGCAGACTAGATGGGCCGAATGGTTCTTATCTGCCGTCACATTCTATGTTTCTATGTCATAGTTTGATCTCCATCTATCTGGCAGCTTTAAAAAAAAAATAATCAAGGTGGGGCGTTGCAGAGGTAAAAAGCTGCCATAATACGTAGCTTGTGAAACACAAACTGATTTACATAGGTACGTTCTAAAGCTAATTGCAATTAGACAAAACTGAAAAACAAGGCTAGTCTATTTGCAAGGTTAAATGGCTAACTTGTGAATCAGGAGTCTCAAACTGTGGCTCCCCAGATGGTGCTTGCCTACATTTACAGAATTCATTGCATGCAATAGATGGTCAGATAATCATGGGAGCAGTAGTTCAACAAAATTTGGGGAAGGTAGAGTCTAAGATGTGGGCTCTAAATGAATTAATGAGCAAATTCTACACATAAAGAATACATTTAATTTGGGTCACTGGTCTAGATGTCTAACTTACAGTGCTGAAGGCAGAATACATGTTTGGGGCAGTACTGTGCTACAATGTTATATTAATGTGTGACATTCCACACTGCTTACAAAAACGCAAGATATGCAGATCACACTATGGCCTCCATAGACAATGTCACATGTCGTTCGACCCGCGACATTGCTTCTTTTAACATCAGGATATGTTTACTGCTTGGCACATGTGCAATCTATAGTCATTAGGCTCATATGGGAAGGATTCCTGACCGTCTGAAATGATGGCTTATATTCACTACCAGTACTTGTGGCAAATTCGCTGATAAAATAGACAAATTACTAAGATTCTTCAATTCTGCTGTAGAATTTGCAGTTTTCATGTAGGTCTTTTATAAATCCTATTTTAGTGAAACACCGTCACTAATATTTTGCTCTGTTTACCCACATTGCACTGCGCTGCAGAGAGCATGTCTGTAACTGCATAAAGAAATACATGCAGGCTTATTCACAACGTGAGAATTTAAGGTAAAAATTTGCAAACTCAGCTATGCTTTCAATTCGACTACTCTGGCCTTAAATTTGAAATTCACTTTGAACCCTGACACATGTGAGGAGCTGTTATGTGACTGTAATGTATATGTTTTACACCTTTTTCTCTGTCACCAATGTACATAGAGTAGTAACCCAGGGTTAAAGTGGTATGAGAACAGGTTTTAAGATATAGCTATTTTAGTGGGGGTGAAGTTGGTGGGTAATACCACGTTGCCATCACTGAAGGATATATAGAAAGCATTGATTTCTCCAATCCCCGCTGGCCGTGTAGTGAGACTCTGCTCCTGTCTTCAGACTTTCATTCCTTTCTCAGGCTAACAGGACACAAGTATCTATCTTACAAGTTTCCAGGGAGAATTTTCCCATGCCACTGCCCCTCGGTTCAGTTTAGCTGCTCAGTATTTATAGCAACATGAAGCTCGTAATGGGCCAATTTGTTTTAATTTCCACTGCTTTTGTGTTTAACTTGCCCTCAGCTGCATGCCGCTTTTTCATTGCTTTATTGATGGGGTGTGTTGGGAGTACTTACGGGATTCTAAGATGTACAGGGCACAGATCTGCTCTGTAAATTTACTGTTTTCTAAAGCTGGTTTTCTCATTGAGAGAGAAAAGGTATGCTGTGAGTGGCTGGACAAAAAGAGACAGAGCCAGGCACCATGCCAAGCAGGGCCCACTGCCAAAGCACATACACAGAGGACAAGCTTACAGCAAGAAAATGAGGAACACATGTTGGGGGGCAAGAGTTATGTATCAGCATGACCGACAACATGAAGCATTTCTGCCCAGTCTGTGTCTGTGGTCTGAAAGTGCAAATGTCCTAAACCTAGATCCCCTAGCACTAGGTGAGGAGCAGGTGAAAAGGCAGGTGGAAAGTAACGGGGACGGGAAGAAGAATGGATTTAGTTAGTAAAATCACCATGGTTCGGGGAAAAGGGAACAGTGGGGAGAGGTAGAGAAGCCGGCGGCAGCAGATGAAAATCCCCCAGTGCAGTCTAACGCCATCCCAGATGAAATGAGGGCAGAGGGGCTGGGAATGCAGCAAGGAAATAGCAAAAGATCGCACGTTGAGCATATTTAGAAATGGTTCATTTCTAGATTTCACAGTGATGGGAAAATAAAAAGCACTGAGACACTTTGCTCCAACCCCCCCTCACCCCCCCGGGAATGCCGAGCCCATGGCACAGAGGAGAAAACGGGGAGGGCAAGATTCCTTAGTAAATCATACTACACTTCCTTAAATATAATTAGATAGGCCTCATTAGCTTGCACTGAAGACTCTTTGTACTTTTTTGGAGCTGGACTTGCAGCCGCTGCATGTAGCACCCCTGGTCTGAGGAAGCTGTGTCCTTTCATCTCTTAGTTATATCCCCTTTCCACGCTTTAACAAAACACTTTGTCATATCCTTTGTTTTTCACGGACTCTTTCCAGCTGTGCCGCTTGTCTTTGAGTACACACAGCAGCTGTTATATAGAGCACACACCTAACTGGGCTTCTCCTGGGCTTCAGCTTGTGCCAATCTAACATGTGTGGCATTCACAGCCCTTCTTCTTCCAGGGTTATAATATAACTCCCGGGGGCGTAGCATGACCGTGTATGGAGTAGGACGCATCTCCTTGCAGCTCCTAGGCCCCAGCTCACTAAAAGCACCGATAAACCGGCACAAAATAACCCGGGATGGGGAAAACTAAAAGGCCCAACATTCCGGGCCCCTCACAAACGGGCTCGCCGGGTCGCACTTCGGGTCCCATGGATGGGTACCTCGCCACGCCGCAAGACACGCGATCCGCACAGGCCGCTGCCAAAATGGCGCCGGCATCCCCGGACGCAAGCAGCAACGACAGCTTGGCACAGGGCACAGGCAGGGGCGAATCCCTCACCCAAATAGCAGCAGACCTGGCCACAATCTCTGCCAATATGCTGTCCCGCACGGACAAGACGGAGATGCTGGCTGAAATAAGGACCGCGATCAGAGAGGAGGTCATGGAGGTGAGGAGAGATCTGACAGCCCTAGAACGCAGAGTGGAGGACCTAGAGGCTGACCGGGCCTCACAAATCTCCCAACTGGAGCAGACACACAAGCAAAGCCAGGACGAGGGCACGTTCCTCCAATTGACGGAGCTTAGAAGGCAGAGACGGGACATACTAGCTCAGGGACTCTTACGCACCCTTAGAAAATATGCCAGGTTCTTTTACGAACATTCAGACAAAAGCGGCAGACTGCTTGCCTGCCAGCTCCGCGACCGAAGGAGAGCGAGCCACATACATAAAATAAAACCCTGAGATAAAGCAGAAACACGGCTGCCAGACGGAATCCAGCGAGCGTTCAAAGAATTCTACACAGATCTATACAACATCCCCCAGCCCACTACAGCCGAAGCCCAAACACAGCGTCTTAACCGAATTTCGGAATACTTAGAACGAAACGTAGACATGAAGCTAACCCGAAATGAAGGAAGACCTAGAACTTCCCATCTCGATAGAGGAACTAGTAGCGGCACTAAAACTCTCCAAAACCCACAGAGCCCCAGGGCCAGACGGCCTCCCCTTGATATACTGGCGCACATTCCGAGACATTTTACTACCGAACCTCCTGCGAGGGCTTAACTCCATACTAGAAGGGGTCCGTTTCCCCATGGACACTTTGGCGGCCATAGTCACGGTAATACCTGAGGAGGGCAAGGACCAGACGACCTGTACGAGCTATTGCCCCATATCACTGCTGAACGCGGACCTGAAGCTATTTGCTAAAACCATTGCCCTGAGAGTCGCGAAACACCTCCCCCACCTGGTACACTCAGACCAGGTCGGGTTTATCCCTGGTAGAGAAGGGAGGGATAACACAATCAAAGCACTAAACATCTTACACATAGCGCGGACGTGTCGAAAGGAACTACTGCTACTGTCAACGGACGCTGAAAAGGCTTTTGACCGGGTGGACTGGAAATATCTGGAGAACACACTTGCATACATGGGATTCGGTCCACATATGCTATCGTGGGTGCTCTCCCTGTACAGGAGCCCCACTGCGCGGATCCGCATTAATGGGGCATTGTCGGCCCCTTTCCCGATCCGTAACGGCACCCGCCAGGGCTGCCCACTGTTCCCCCATCTGTTTGCCCTCTCCCTGGAACCGTTCCTGGGGGCGGTCAGACAGAACGGTGGAATCACAGGATTCAGCGTTGGTCGCAATGAATACAGAGTAGCCGCGTACGCGGACGACATGCTGTTCTTTCTTACACAGCCGCTGCTTTCGTTGCCCAACCTTCTCGCGTCTCTCAGAGAGTTTGGAGCGATTTCTAACCTTAAGCTCAACACAGATAAGTCTGAGGCCCTCCACCTGCCACCCCTCAAAGACCCCCCAACACACCTCTATACACAGTACCGATTCAAGTGGTGCGACACCAAACTGAAGTATTTGGGTATTTGGTTACCCAAGGACCCGTCTCAACTATACTACCATAACTATCTCCCGCTACTTCAATCTCTGCAGGCAGACCTTAAAAAATGGTCCCCACACTACATTTCGTGGTTCGGGCGTATTAATGCAGTCAAAATGAATGTGCTGCCCAGAATACTCTATCTGTTCCAGACAGTGCCGATCACGGTGCCCAGAGCCTTCTTCAGCTCCATAACGACCGCTATCCGCCGTTTTGTTTGGAACTCCTGCCCTACCCGCACGAAAAAACCACCCTAGAACTGCCTAAACTGATGGGTGGAACGGGACTACCCTCCATAGAGACGTACTACCGCGCCACACATTTGCATAGAATAACGCACTGGCACATGCAACACCCTTTGAAACAATGGGTGACCCTGGAACTAGAGCAGGCAGATAGGACAATACCCTCCAGACTGTGGCTGCACACCGCCACGTACACAGACCTACACACCAAAAAGCCCCTGATTGATGCAACACTGAGAGTGTGGATAGCTACATGCTACTGACTACAGCTCACGACCTCACCCAGCCCCCTAACGCCCATTACGCACAACCCAGACCTTGCAGATGCCCTAACCCATAACGAGTTATACGGTCTCCAAACATCCGACTGGATGTATCTGCACCAATGGTTTGGCCCACAAGGACTTAAACCCCTCAGGGACCTCTGCCCAGACAGACCGCCAACGCTGCTCGAACAGTTTCGTTACCACCACATAAAAACATACTTCCAATCCCTACCGGGACGTGGGCATCTGTTCAGACCCCTCACCAGCTTTGAACTCCTGTGTGTACACCGAACTCATATTCCCAGGGGTAACTCGACCCTATATGCCACACTCCAGAACCAGACCAGTGGGGAAGTGGTGCTCCGATTTAAGGACCACTGGGAGAAGGACATGGGGGAGTCCCTTTCCGCACAGGAATGGGACAAGATTTACACCCTCATGCACAAATGCTCTATCAGTTCGAAGTTCCAAGAACTGAACTATAAAATATTAACTCGATGATACAGAACACCAGACACTCTACACCGCATGCATGAGAACACACCGGACACGTGTTGGAGATGTGGCACACACCCTGGGACATACTTCCACATGTGGTGGACATGCCCCGTAATTGCCCCATATTGGGAGAAAATCAGGGGAGAGATACAAGAAGTCACAGGATTAGAGCTGCCTTCAAAACCACTAACGATGCTACTACACCACACACCCACCCCCATGAAGGCATACAAGAAGTCCCTAAGACTACCACTACTCAATGCAGCCAAGTCCCCATATCCCTGTTATTTGGAAACAGAAGGGAGCACCCACCCTCCAGCAATGGGTGACAAGGGTGGAAGAAATACACTCAATGGAAACTTTAAAGGCAGATCTCCATGGGAGACAGGAGAAGTGTGCATTGACCTGGTACCCATGGGCTACTTACCTAGCCAAAAGATTAGCGACCCCGAACACAACACCTCAGGACTCAAAGTAATCAGAAGCAAGAAGTGATGCGCTTACTTGCTCAAAAGAGCTTACAATCTACATGTGACGTAAGTCTCTGATTGTAGTGATAGATACACACGCAGTTACAGGCACATATAGCCACGTAGCACTGCAGGTAGTGTATAAAGCACAAAATGAATGAACAAATTCACCAAGAAATGCCCAAAATATAGATCACCAGATGGTACTTTGCCAGTCTATAATTACAGAGCATCATAAAAGCTGAAAAGCTGTAGTTTTTAAACCTCTGTTGATCTACTGTACCTTTTGGTCACACTTGCTTTAAAAGGACCTTATACGACCTTATTCAGTGTTAAACCGATTGAAGAGGTTTAACATGGAATGTAGTGACAGCGCCTGGGGACTCCAGAGACACTATAACCACTTCCATGAGATGAAGCAGTTACAGTGCCAACAGTGGTCCTTTAGTCAGTTGATGGTGGCCACAAATATTAAGGATATCTCTGCTTGAGTACAGGTGTACACGTGGATATCCCAGAAATCTGGCCTGTTTTCTGCTGTGGCCCTGCTTAAAGGGCTGCTTTTGCAAGCTCCAATAACTTGTGTAATAAAGTGACTATATTAGAAGGCTTTAATGGGGAAAGATTCAGAAGGGATAATGCATGTTGCTAAGGACAGAGCACAGATTCCATGTAATGTGTGTGCCACATGCTCGGCCCATGTGTATCATGTCATGTGTGAATGAATGTAAAGTCCAGACAGAGGCATCCTTCAGCAAGGCTCAGATTATTCAAAACATCTGCTGATTCCTGGCTGTGAAAATATTCCACGTTACAAGAGCCAGCACAGTGGAAGCCTAGCCCAGATTACTAACCCACTCCCTCCTCTCTGTCTGCGTTCTATCATGGCTGAAGATACAAACAGGGCCACAGGAAGAGGGTTCTCTTGTGTGCATCGCCGGACCTCAAAATCTAACTGGATTAGCCTCTGTGCGGCACCGTGTGGACAGAATTACTACCATAGCTAGAGTACCCCACGATTCCCTCTGTGTTCTAAACACACATCTCAGAGGACATGAGTTAAACTGTCTCGCACTGCTAGGTGATCCCACTGTTTAGCTGCTGCGTCTGCCACAATTCATGGATATTTGAAGGAGGGTCATACACACTTGCATAGGGGAAAAAATAACCATGAAAATATTATCTAAAACGAGCATTGTAGCAGGGCCAGAATATTAAAAAGACTGAGATTTAATCAAATTTGCACTGGTAACGGGGAAGTATGTAATGAAAGATAAAGCCATAAGGAAAACAGCCCCTACACTGAAATCAATCTCTGTCCACTCCCTGTTTACATAAAGCCGTGAAAACGCTCTATACAGGATCTGCATGTGAATAAACGGAGCTGAGCTTCTGTAACTAAACCCTTGTTTTGCCGTAGTGGAGCTCTGTACTCTGTACACTCATCACCAATCCTTTTACATTTTCGCAGTGCTTAGAAAATGAATGTCCTTGTGTGGGAATGCCATTTCGAGAGGAAGATAGGTGTAATTCTCCATTTTAGCTGTCTGGTTTTTGGAGGGATTTACAGAATTAGGTTTTTGTCCATTGGAAGGACATGTGTTTTTTAGAAGAGGAGGGAGTTACATTGATTTTATTCTGGTGAAACTTCTATATGAATGAATTCATACCTCTCTCCTAAAAAACTCTGCAGTTCCTTCACGAAACCATGAACTGTAGTGAACTACAATCTGAATTGCAAAATACAGTTCAACATTGCTGAATATTAGAATGTATGGGTGTTTTTCCCAGTATAAGCAGTTTCTATTTGGCTTATTTTTAAAATTAGGTAAAAATGGTAACAAGGACTTTGTGTGGGTCTTGAGTAATAAAGGTAAACGTGTATGGCAATGTAAGCTGTTCACACCACAGTCGCCTTGATTAATTGGTCCTAATTATGCTATAAAATGCAGGCCTTCTCAGGAGATGGATTCAAAGCTTCTTAGAGTGTGATTATGAAAAAACCTTAAACGTCGTCCATGATCAGAGAACACGTTTGGACTTTAATGTGAGCCAAGTGCAGAGTTTTATCGTTCTGTGCTGCTAATTGAAAGCCAGCCCAATACTGTAAAACAATGAGTAACATATATGTGCTCCTGTACCCTGTCCAGCTACCTATACCATTAGATTCACAAGAGGCTATATATATGGGTGGAAATATATATACACTGGGATTCATGTATAAGGATTTCCCACTTTTTCAGTGGTCAGGGCTTTTTGTGTTTGTGGTGCCCTATGCCAGTCCCTGCTCCTCTCTAAAAGCAGGTATAGAATATCCTACTATGATAACGCAAAGCTTCAGTAATCAGAGCTAGCCACTGTCAGATAAACACGTATAAACAGATGTAGTGGTGGTTTGTGGTGTCATGTCACCAGCAGACAATGTGCTTCTTCTGCGTGAGGACAGAAAAAGGGGTCCTCTATAAGATCCCCCTGCACTTTGTTCTGATCGGTCTTTTCTCCTGTTTCCCACTCTCTGTCCCTCCCTGTGCTTCCTGTACACAGTCTGAGAATGGGCTTTCCTAGTGTGTGACGTGAAGTGCAGACTCTCACAGTGCCAGCCATTCCCGGGCCAGGCCGTCTGTGGGAGGAAGCACTTTCACAGCCTGGAATTCGGCTACTAAGCTTTCTAAAAAGATTGTGGAAAAAAAACAGTCAAAAACAAATGAAATAAAAATAGATCAGCGTTTCCCGAGGTCGCACTGTGAGAAATGGCAGCCACACATACAGAACCATGCATGTCCTAAAATAATCCACATGCAAACATTAAACGGATTCTCATGTTGCACATTACATACAGCTCTTAACACATGTGGAACAATACATATACAGGCCAGGCGTTAGACACAGCTTCACACTACATTAAACACTACACGTATTAACATGTAGAGATACAGGTTTGTTTGTCACATTTATTAATGTGTGTTAAGAGTAACATGTGAAGTTATGTGTAACATGTTCGGCTGCATGCCATGTGTTAAACGGTGATACAAATTACTGGCATCAGTGTGACATGTTACAGCACGTTCTATCATAGCATTCGAAAGAGTTTGTTTGTTTCATTATTGAATCAGCTTCAATCAACACGGATAGTTCATATTTATAAAGCTAAATATAGCGGGGTTGATAGGTATGGGATGTTTTCATGTGTTTGAATATATGGCTGCGTACAATGCTCCTGGAAGCATCACATCATCTAATATATAACTAATTATCCTAAGTAATCTAAATGTCCCAACTGAAAGATGTAAAAAATGACATTTGGCACAAGATACTGCAAACAGAACATTCTGTGTTCATTAAGCCTAGACTTAGAGTTACAGATACACCGTAGCAGTCTCCTATTATGAAACATACATACTGCAGGGCTGCAATCAAACCCATGCAGAGGTTACACTATGGATTTATCACAAGTAGATAAATAAAAAAACGGAAACAAGCACGTGATTCTAAAGCTTATTCTGCACAATGTCCACAAAAAATAAATATAAAGAGTCTGACAGAGTAATGTAAACTCAGAATCACAGAGCTTGACAAAGCCCAGCAGTAACAGTCCCTGTTACCATGTTACTGCTCCCACGTGTGTTCCATAGAACTCTATCAAGGTTATTCGGTAAACTGGACACTGTTGGCTATATGTCAAGGAATCTCAAATCTCAGGCCAAAATATTCAAACTGGAAAAATGCTTAATTCCAGCTCAAACTTGGACATGTGTGTTAAAGGGACACTCTACTCACATAAAGCAGGTCCTTTTACTTCCTGGTTTGTTTAGCTCAGTGGAAATAAACTCGAGAGGCAGCAATTTCCCAGAGCACCTACCTTGCAAAGACTTCTCACTGAGCTGCATTGGGAAGTCTGTGATTGGACAGCCACAGAAAGTCTGGGCGGGGCTGGAAGGGGAGGGATTGCAAAGGCCGCAGACAAGAGCAGGTTTTAGATATATCCTCAGTGAAATTTTATATAATTAAATGCACACATTTTTTCATTGTGGAGTCCCTTTAATGTTTAATGGGTTTGTGTACGAGTCAAAATGTTGTTTGTTTGTTTGTTTTTTTGTAGATCCACGACCATAGTTAATAATTTTTATTTTGGATGAGCTCAAAATGCAATACATAAGGCAAATCTTTTTGTTATTTTAGGACAGATGAGGAAAAAGAAAAACCTGACATATAAACAAGTAGGACTTGATTATTCCAGCCTTGGTATCGGTGTCTTTTTTCCTTTGATCATTTAAAGTAAACAGGTAACACAATCCAGCAATTAATGCACAGCCATTGATAATCCTCAATTTTTTGTGTGTAAAATGCCTTGTTTGGACAAGTCCTGGCTTCCTCCATGCTCTACGTCTAACTACACCCTCCAGGGACATCCAGTATAAATATTAAAAAATAAATCACTAGGAAAATAACATACTTTATAAGGTTATTTTTTACCCCTAAACTTAAGAGACTCTTCACTATTCTCTAAGCCATCATCCTCTGCACGCACCCTCCCCTCCGCAAACAATATATCCTTGAATTTTGTCTTCTCTTCCTTATCGGAATGCAGGCAGTACCTAAATGACATTTCTGTGTTCTGATCTTGCCAGAGATAGAGAGATTTTTTGATTCAGACGAAGCATTCTGCAGATCAAGCAGTCGTGCACCAAGGACAGAGCTGAGCCCTAATCCCTTGACCCACACGCCCTCTTCTAACTAGCTATTGACATTGAACTTAAGAAGCATCAGTGCTTAGCTGAGATAATGAGAGCTGCAGGGTAAAGGCGGGTAGATCAGGACGGAGCTGGGAAGAATCACACATGGATGTAAGTGTTAAGGACACAAGGTTTTGGTTGAAAAGTAGCTTTTTCTCAGCAAAACAAAATCCGTAGACTGGACGCCAGGTCAGAAACGACAAAATCAATACTGGAGGATGATTAGTTGTACTGCTCCAGCGAATGTCTCACCCAGCTGCACAGGGTCCACTCCTAAAAGAACCCTGGCCCCCTAAGGTAAAAGGACAAACACACAGTGTGGGTGGCAGTGTTTCTTCTAAGGTGCATACTGCGGAGTTAAAAACGTGCGTCCTTATGAAGCGATGTAATGTGTAATATTGCGCTGAGCCATTTTATTACAAGCTGCTATGTAACTGTTTACTTTAGCTGGAGCAATGTGTCAATGGTTATGCTGCATGGAAAACAGTGCCGATAAGGTACTTAAAGGGGCAGTAAAGGAAAACTCTGAGCACTGGGATGTGTGAAGTAAACCAAGATTTGTTCATTGCCTGGTGATATGGAGTTCTGGGCAGGGGTTCACATCCAAACACTGCATGCATACTCACTACTTGCTCTGGTGTCAGAGGAGAAGCTGTCAATGAGCATGCTCTGTCTAATGCTGGTCTCTGTAATATACGTATATTGTATTGATGTCCTTTATATACTATAGAAGCTGAGTGTCAGGCACAACCCGGGTGAGAGCAAGCAGCAAGCAGATAAAATAAATCTTAGGTATATATTCAAAGAAGCTTTAAAAAGACACTTTACCCATTTCTTGTTATAAGCATTTTACTTACTGCCACTACCCCTAAGATGAATGTTATGCCTTGCCCTACAGGGCCCAAGATTAGCTAATATAAATGTTTCTCTCACTTGTAAGACAACCGACACGCTTTAACAGCCACGCAACGTATAAGCCACCCTCCCCCCCAATAATACAAAGAACAGGAGTTATAATCCACAACTATGGTCAATCACGGTTTAGACCACAACACATTCATAGACAGATATGGAAATAAACGCCTTCCAAACCCAAAGATCCCTTTCTCCTGAGAACCACTAGCTGAAATTATAGATGTATAAAAGGGAAAAAAGGGCCACCTCATAAAAGACGATACCACTCATGTATAAATGCAACGTCTTAACCACGAATGTCTCTTATCTTGTTTAACTGCTTTGAATCACCCGAACAAAATAAAGATAAAAAAAAAAAAAGACACTTTAAAACTTGTTAATGGTAATCTGTCCGTGTCACACTCTAAAGATCCTAGCAGGTATTGGCCTCCAAAGGTTGCGCCCATTTACCCCATTGGTCTCAAGGTAGGTGCTGTAGATAGGTAGCCCGAGGCAAATGCATTTATCAGACCTTCAGTAAGAGTTCCTGGGCAAAACACCTAATGGTGTATTCCTGTCTACCTCAAATCCTCAGATTTTAAGCTAAATGGCCTGGTTAATTTTGTAATGGAACAAGGTGACCTAAAACCAGCTTGAGATCTGAGCGGGGACCCACCGAAGGGCAGGCTGTTTGAGCTGTTGTTGTTCTCAGGACTCTCTTGCACCAGTTTTTTTGCTCTTCCCAATTTTAAAGTGTATTTCAGACGTGGACCCATTGTTCATGGTGCCTAGAAGGACATTGGTTATACCTCACTGAAGATGCCTAACAAGGTTAAAACAACCTCCTGGGGTTGCTGTATCCCTCATGGATCGGTCTGATATGCAAATGGCCCTGGCTCTTTTTGTAATGGCACATGATGAGCTAAAACCAGCTTGAGATTTGAGTGGGGACCCACCGAAGGGCAGGCTGTTTGAGCTGTTGTCCATTCTCAGTACTTTCTTGCACCTTGTTTTTTTTGCTCTAGGTTTTAAGCTTGTTTGAGCGGGCCTTTTTAACATCTAATTATCCCTCTTCTATAATTGTAAAGTGTGGAAGGATATGTTGGCGCTTTATAAATGCTAATAATAAAATAATAATAATACAAAGGACCACATGACATGAAGAAAGGACGGACCTGATAGAAGATGGGCATTCGTGGTGAATGCCCATCCCATGGGAGATTTAGGAATGGCTTAGGAACAAGGTATTATACACGTACAATGATTTATATAGCGCCAACATATTCCGAGGCGCTAATACAGCATAAGGCAGAGAAACACAGCAAACGTGAAAACTTTCAGTTTGTCCATAAATAGATTAGAAGCAAAACCCTTTTAATATACACATGAATGAATCGATACCTGGGCAAACTGATATCAGTTATTGATTTGTTCGGGTGTGGATTAAAAGGATTTTGATTTGGACGAATTGGTCGTTTATGAATGAACCAAAGTTTTGCACATGTCAAACAAAGCCAAGGCATAAATTAAACATGGGAGAAATGGACATCAGAAAGCAATGTCAGAGCAGGATTTACTTTGTGTGTTTGGTGGACTGCCTGGCAGCACGACTGGGTACCTCCGCCAAACAAGCTTCCTAGCTATCGCCGGGACACCATAAGCATGTTCAGCCCCTAGCCACTATGGCTTGGCTGGGCTCTCGCCGTCTCTTCCCACCCTGGACCAGGGTCCGGGATCCAGCTCCCAGTGGTCAAAATTTTCCTACAGAGAATATAGCTGTATAGTAATAATTATAGCACGTATATACACATTAGCCAAGACTTAATTCTGGGAGTAGATCTGCTTAATGCAGGCAAAGCTTCAGAATTTTTACACACAGTAAACTCCTCCCAATGTGCCTGAGAGATAATTGAGTCAGGAACTGTACAAATTCAATTATCTCCCAGTACAGAAAAACACACAATTTTAAAACACCCCAAAAGTACCCCCAAAATCCATTGAAAGAGTCACATCCATGGATAGCCCTGATCTGAATGACCATCATATCCAAAAATCACTCAGATTGGTTCAGTGGTTCGGAATTTCTATGAAGGTCAACTTTTGACTGACCGCACACTGTCAGGGTACCTGTTGGTGATGTATCCAGGGAGGACATCCTCTCTACTTAGGGGCTCCCTTCCCTTAGCATTTCGGCATATTTCGGCCGTTTTCGCGCCGGCCGCGCTAGCTCCTCCCCCTTTTATGACGCGACGGCTAGCGTCGACGTCATGACGTCAGCATTTGCATAAAGTGCCGGGAACCGCTATTCCGGACCTTTTGGGGGCGTGGTCTCTATTTAGGTAACAGGGTATTTAAAGGAAACCTTTACTACTGCTCATTGCCCTGTTGTGGTTCTAGCTTGCTAGTCACTCAGCGCGTTCTTTATCTAGTGTTTCCGGTTTTGACCCTTGCTTGTCTTTTGTCCTGTTGTCCTCTCCTCTCCTTTGACTCGGCTTGTATCTCGCTTACCTGTCCTCCGGCTCTCTTGACCTCGGCTTACCTTTTGACTATTCTTGCTTTGTCCTTACGTTAATCCGGCCATTCTAAGGTCCGGTATACGTACCTCCTTCTGTGCGCACTCTGCGTATTGGATCCCTGTCAGTTTCCTGACACACACATGGCTTCTGCCCAAAATAGTTCCATAAGAAAAGTGCTAGTGGTCGGTAAATTTCGGGAGTCGAAAACCAAACAAAATACCAAACCGATCCTCTGGCTCCTAGGCAGCAATTGTTTGCCTAGTTCATGCGAACAATCCTACCGAATGGCACTCTCCTGACATGTATATAAAAGAAGCAGACGTTCGTCAAAGTTCAGCAGTGATCACGAGTTAGAGTGTCCAATTTTAGTTCCATGCACTCGACGACCAAACACCGCTGCCTGTGTTTGTGCGAACAAGATGGCCGCCAACTCAGTTCTCACGTGTTTGTACATACGAACGGCGGCCACCTAGCCAAACACTTAGAATGTTGAGGTGTCAGGAGAGGTCAATAAGAGTTAAAGAGCCCAGAGGTGGTGTGCAATTCGTGTGGTTGTTGAGTCCCCGAACAACAAGGGAAACCACACAAACCAAGTCTTTTAAAGGTCTGTTACATAGCCCATAATCATTGGGCAGGAGGCTAGCCAGCAGGCTCCTCCAGGAGCTCATGGCAGGGGCATCAGTGTGTTAGGAAGGCTACCGAAACCATTTGAAGGACTCCTATCCATCCACAGACAAACAGACAGAGAAAGCAAAACAGGACAGGAATTGAAACAGACAATACATTTTTTTAAAAAGGAGCAAGGAATGGCAATTCTATATCTCTAACCTAACTGAGAAAATCCACAGGATTCTCTAGAGAAATTAATTGTGACTGAGCTAAAAATGGTGTATTTAAACAAATTAACACTTATTTAAGTTCAATGAACAATGAATGAACACTGCTTCTATTTCATTTTCATAAGGGCTCTCTGAACATCCAGCAATTAAGACAATTCCAGCAATCATTGCTATAAAGCCTAATAGGCTCTTTGAGGCTTTCAACTAATACTTTAGGCATGCTTCTGTAATAAGTGAATTAAACACTGAACACATTTGTCCATCACAAGCATCCTGAAAGTCTATGTTTATTGTAAAGAATAATAGTAGATTTACAGGATTAAAATTATTTATCTCTTCTCATTTATGAAGAATTACAAGTGGAAGCACAAAGTGCAAGTGGTCTGAATCATGCCAGATATACTATCAAGATTACTTGCTAAAGTGAGAATTCCTTGGACAGAATTGCCAAACTGATAAAATTCTCCAAGTCAACTTCTTAAATTTGAAATTCACTTTGGTAAATAGTGAATGTACATTCTGACAGCCCTACCCCTCTCTCCCTTATCTGCACGTCCAGTTCTCAGCACTTACTACTCCTTAGGATAACCACTGCAGAGAATATTTGTTTCTAATTCGTGTTTTATTAAAGTGAGCAAAAGTTAAGAATTATAGTAATATGTGGTCTATATACAGCTTCTTATCAGAATAATGAAACACATGGGTTTTAAGGCGTGTAATGGAGATTTAATGTGGTACAGACATTGATGGATTTATTGCCGTTCAATGTATAAAACATGAGTCACACACCCCTAGTGGCGATCATGTCAATGTATAATACAGTCACAATATTAATCATCACAAACTAAAATGTGTACATAAACATGTGTAATACTGAAAATGGAAATATATATATATTAACCATGCCAACAACTCATATCTTCAATATAGAACAAATAAAATAGACTTCATCACACAGCCCATGGAGGGCACAACTGTCACTTATTAAACCATTGGGAGGGGACAGAGCCGGTGTGAGGGATTTTAGGGATCAGACAGAGTTTGCCATTTTTGGTTGGGGGAGTAGTGGTATGTTACTAAACTGAGGGGAGTATGATATTTTTCTGTTTATAGGCGGTGCCAGCACTCCTGTCTCCTGACACTGAGCCTGGAAGTTTTATCTACAAGGAAAACTTGTAGACAAACTGGATTCAATTTAGAATTCCCCATGAAGCTTTCATTTAAGAAATT